AAAAAATTTATTTATTCATGAGAGACACAGAAGGAGAGAGGCAGAGATACAGGTAGAGGGAGAAGCAGGCTCCATGCAGGGAGTGCGACATGGGACTCGATCCCGGGTCTCCAGGATCAGGCCCTGAGCCAAAGGCAGACACTTAACCGCTGAGCCACCCAGGCATCCCTATTTTATTTATTTTTTTTTAAAGATTTTATTTATTTATTCATAGGCACAGAGAGAGGGGCAGAGACACAGACAGAGGGAGAAGCAGGCTCTATGCGGAGAGCCTGATGTGGGACTTGATCCCGGGTCTCCAGGATCACACCCCAGGCTGCAGGCAGTGCCAAACTGTTGCGCCACCGGGGCTGCCCCCTATTTTATTTTTAAAAGTAATCTCTACACCCCACATGGGGCTTGAACTTATAACCCTGAGATCAAGAGTCCCATGCTCCTCTGACTGAGTCAGTCAGGCACTCCTATGCTACAGCATTTTACAGATAAAGGAGTGGTGAGTGCAACAAACTCCTCCCTGAAAATCAGAAAGTAGGTTCAAGTCTGGATTTTGCCACTTCTCTGTGGGTCTTCAACATGTCTCAGTTGCCTCACTTGAAAAAGTTTTGGGCTAAATGACCCCAAAAGACCCTTCTGGCTCTTACTTCTATGACCTTATTCTATTCAAATCCTAATCCATGTAGTTTTATTTCCCTCTCTCCATGGAATTCTAACATAAATGTCATAAATTATGACAATAACTGGTATGTAAAAGTTGTGTATTTACCTGACAAGTGTTGGTATCAGGAAATTTCAGCCAGAAATTCCTACCTTGAGAGCATGAAGGTATCTCCATAAACATATTTTCTTCTAAAAGGTGTCAAGTTTTGGAGTGCCTGGGTAGTTCAGTCAGTTAAGTGTGAAATTTTTTTTAAGATTTTATTTATTAATTCATGAGAGACACACAGAGAGAGGCAGAGACATAGGAAGAGGGAGGAGAAGCAGGCTTCTTGCAGGGAGCCCGATGTGGGACTCGATCCCAGGACCTTGGGATCACACCCTGAGCCAAAGGCAGACACTCAACCACTGAGCCACCCAAGTGTCCCTAAATGTCCAATTCTTTTTTTTTTTAATTTTTTTTTTTTTATGATAGTCACACAGAGAGAGAGAGAGAGAGAGAGAGAAAGAGGCAGAGACATAGGCAGAGGGAGAAGCAGGCTCCACGCACCGGGAGCCCGACGTGGGACTCGATCTGGGGTCTCCAGAATCGCGCCCTGGGCCAAAGGCAGGCGCCAAACCGCTGCGCCACCCAGGGATCCCTAAATGTCCAATTCTTGATCTTAGCTCAGGTCATGATCTCAAGGTCCTAAGATCAAGCCCTGAATCAGGTTCTGTGCTGGGTGTGGAGCCCGCTTAGGATTCTCTTCCTCTCCCTCTGCTCCTCTCCTCTGTGCTCTTTCTCTTTCTTGAAAACAAAACAAAAAACTAAAAATAAATAACATTTTTATAACATTTTTCTATATATGTCTTAGAACCCTATTGTTAGGGGATCCCTGGGTGGCGCAGCGGTTTGGCGCCTGCCTTTGGCCCAGGGCGCGATCCTGGAGACCCGGGATCGAATCCCACGTCGGGCTCCCGGTGCATGGAGCCTGCTTCTCCCTCTGCCTGTGTCTCTGCCTCTCTCTCTCTCTCTCTCTGTGTGTGTGTGTGTGTGACTATCATAAATAAATAAAAGTTTTAAAAAAAAAAAAAAAAAAAAAAGAACCCTATTGTTAGATTAATTCCTAGGCATTATATCAATTTTATTTTTTTCCTATCACATTTTGCAAATGATTACTGGTATATAGAAATGCTATTACTTCTTGTATGTTACCTTTATATGCAATAACCTTGCTGAACTCTTATTAATTGTAATAGTATGTAGCTCTCCCCCAATTTTCTTTTTTTTTTTAAAACTTTTTTTTTTAATTTTTATTTATTTATGATAGTCACACAGAGAGAGAGAGAGAGGCAGAGACACAGGCAGAGGGAGAAGCAGGCTCCATGCACCGGGAGCCCGATGTGGGACTCGATCCCGGGTCTCCAGGATCGCGCCCTGGGCCAAAGGCAGGCGCCAAACCGCTGCGCCACCCAGGGATCCCCTCTCCCCCAATTTTCTATGCAGAAAATCGAATTACCTACAAATTAGGATAGGCAGGGGAAATGGCATGAGGAAGGTCCTGAGAAGAGAAAGTTGAAGAAACAAGGAAGGCAGATGATGTTGCGCATAGTGAGATATAAGGCAGATGAGGAGGTGAGCCAGAGAGACAGCATCATTGCACAGGGTCTTGAAAATCATTTTCAGGATTTTAATGCAATGGAAAGTCACTAAAGACGTTTATGTTAAAACTGTAGGGCAGTCTCTATGGTAAGCCATTGGGTTCTGCTCATGTCTGTGTCCTGGCCAACATTTTGGTCAAATTTGGATGAATAAATATAAAGCATACTTTTCATGGATAATAAATATATTAGATAACCCTAAAATACCTTACTGTGAACTTGTAGAGCCTTGAGAATGTATCCTTAGACATAAGACTCGATGTTTGCTAAGATCCCTTCCAACTCTTTTGCTAAGGTTCTATGTTTTTCATCTTGGGTACTCTGCAATAGAGGGAATGTTCTCTCCCACTGGAGGTGGGAAACAGAATGAACCATACTTTGAGAAACAATCTATTAGGGTAGATCCATGTTTACAGGAATAATTCCACATATATGGTCAGTGCTGTAATGAAGAGGCATAGAAGGGGTGCAAGAGGATGGGTATGCCCTGGAGAAGGGGAGTCTGCTTCTTTCTCTGCTCCTCTCCCTGCTCATTCTGTGTCTCAGGTGTGCACGTGTGCAGAAAATAAAGTCTTTAAAAAAAAAGAATAAAGATTCCAACACTTTTTTTTTTGATTCCAACACTTTTGAATTTTTTTTGCCATATGACTTTTTTTTAAAAAAAATATTTTATGTATTTTTTGAGAGAGAGTAAGAGAGCACAAGCAGGGGGAGGGACAGAGAGAAAGGGGGAAGTAGACTCCTGGCTGAGCAGGGAGCCCGATGTAGGGCTCAATCCCAGGACCCTGGGATCACGTGGAAGGCAGACACCTAACCAACTGACCTGCCCAGGCACCCACCCCTAGCCAACTGACTTCTAAGGAGCTCAAAGCTAATTCCACTCTTGAAGCCTGGGACACGCAGTGGGGCTGATTACTCTAAGGCAGCAGATAGGATCAGAGTAACTTTTTAGCATCCACCTGTGTTTCCTTTATAACAGTTAAGTTCATGCCTGGACAAACATCTGTGGGCTTTGGTGTGAAGTAACACTAATTTCACTAGGACAGGAAGCCTATTTTATCTATTTTTTTATAACTGACCCACACCATGTAGCCCTTCCTGATGTGCTAGTACTTATACAGTGTCTGTTGGATGAATGAATTCAGGCTTGCGGTGGTAGTTCTCCTGCTTTGGAGTCTGGGTGTGAGAGAGCAGAGAAGCTTTGAGTTTGGTCCCACAACACCTGCCTCATGAATTGGTCTATGACCTAGATTGGTCATTTCAGTTCCCTGTGATGAGACTAAATTTCTTTCCAGGGTTCCAAATTCATAATACTATGACTTTTCCACTTACCCTTCTACTCTTCATTCCTTTATATTTGTATAGGCTATAAACACTCCTTCATAGTCATTATGAGTAGTACTCTGTAAATACTTGCTAAGTGCTAGGCACCGATTTAAGCCCTTGATATATATCAACACATGCGATCCGCCTAGCAACCCTAATAAAGTAGGTCCCACTATTTCCATTTTACAGTTGAGGAAACTGAGGTACATATATTAAGTATCTCCCACAAGCTCACATAACTTGTAAGTAGCAGTTTCCAGATTTGTACAAAGGGACTCAAGGTCCAGGGCTTTCAACTAAATCCAGTGTTCTTTCTGGTACCCAACTTGCTCTAGAGGTTGACTACCTGGCCCCAGAGCCTGGTTGCCTGAGTTAAATTGCCACTGTCTTGATTACTGGCTTGCTGTCATTAGGTCAATCACCAAATTCTGTGTTTGTTCCTCATCTGTAAAATGAGGATGAGAACATTAACACCAATTGTAAAGCATTGTTGAGAGCTAAATGAGTTATTAGGTGTCACATACTTATAAGAGTTCCTAGAATAGGGGATCCCTGGGTGGCGCAGCGGTTTGGTGCCTGCCCTTGGCCCAGGGCGCGATCCTGGAGACCCGGGATCGAGTCCCACGCCGGGCTCCTGGTGCATGGAGCCTGCTTCTCCCTCGGCCTGTGTCTCTGCCTCTCTCTCTGTGTGTGACTATCATAAATAAATAAAAAAAAAAAGAGTTCCTAGAATATAGTAAGTACTCAGTAGGCATTAGCCATCACTTTTCTTTCTGGACCTCTGCTATCCAGAAGTATAACGTGACCCAAATAGTAATTTTAAGTTTTCTAGTGGCCACATTTTAAAAGGCAAACAACAAAACAACATGAAATTATTATGATTTTTAAAAGATTTTATTTATTCATAAGAGACACACAGAGAGAGAGGCAGAGACACAGGCAGCGGGAGAAGCACGCTGTCTATGGGGAGCCTGACACCGGACTGGATCCCAGGACCCCGGGATCACGACCTGAGCCAAAGGCAAATAGATGCTCAACCAGTAAGCCACCCAGGGGTCCTGAAATTATCTTAAATGGGTCTTATGTAGCCAAATATGTCCAAAACGGTAATCAATTACCCAGTTTATAACCAATATAAAACTATGAATATTTTATTTTACATATTTTTGGTACTAAGTCTCAGAAATCCGACGCGCATTGTACACCCACGGCACATTTCAACTTGGGCCAGCCACGTCATTTGCGGCCGGTGGCAGCGCAGCCCCGAGAGGCCCCACCGCCGCCGCCCAGCCGCCCCCCCACGGCTCCTTCCCGCGACCAGGGGCCCGCGCCCCAGGCCCCGCCCCGCGCCCCGCCCAGGTTACGTCACAGAGCTCGCGGGCCCAGCGGGCCGGGAGGCTCGGGCCGGCCGCGTGTGCCCGGCCGCTCGCATCCTCCCTGCTTCAGGCACCCAAGTTCTGAAAGGAAGCGACGTCCACCACAGAGCCGCGGCCATGGTCGCTCTGCCCGCCCGCCGCCCGGGCGCCAGCGGGCGGGAGGCGGTAGTCTGAAGCCCCCAAGCGTACCTCGCCCCCAACGGCCCTCCGCTCGCGCCGCTACCACGCCGAGGTCGAGGCGGCGGGGCCGCCGCCCATTGGCCCGCCGCAGCCCTTCGCCCGCCCCCTCGCCGGGCTCATTGGTCCGAGCAGCGGCGCCCGCGGGATAGGCGGCGGTGGCGCCCCTCCCTCGCGCCGGCCCTCAAGAGGGCGACGAGGAAGCGGCTGCCTCCCTGCGCCCCGCCCCACGGGCTCGCTCGGTGGCTCCGGCTCCTCCCGACTTCTCCCGGCTCCTCCCGGCTCCTCCCGGCCCTCTCCCGGCTCCCTCCGGCTCCGGCTCCGGCTCCGGCTCCGGCTCCGGCTCCGGCTCCGGCTCCGGCGCAGCGGCCGCGGGTAGGTGCGGCGACAGGCGGGGCCCGATCGGAGGGGCGGCCTCCCTACTGTCCCGGGGGCTGCCCGAGCCGCGCCCCGCGGCCGCCCGGGACCCCGCGGGGCCCGCCTGAGGCGGGGAAGGGCGGTGGCCGAGGGCCTGGGGGACGCGGGGGCGGCCGGGCGGGGGGCCTGCGGGCGGGGTCTTCCAGGCTTCGGGGCGCTCTCCGGGGTGCCCTTGGGGCCAAGCGGGCTGAGAGGACCGCGGCTTCGGGCGTCTGGAGCGTGGGGCCGAGCGGCATGCCTCAGGCTCTGGATGGGGCTGCGCCCGCAGAGCGAGGGTCGTCTGCGGTCTGCGGCCCTGGGTGGGGCTCGGGGACGCAGGAGATCTCAAAGGTCATTCCCTGAGATTTAGGGGGGGTTAGTTGAGGTGGGGCTGAGGTGAAGTGGCGTGGCCCCGTCCGGGGTTACGGGCGGGGCTGAGGGGCGGTCCGAAGAACCGGGCCGCCGCCTGGGCTCCCTGCGAGCGTTCCCTCTGGCACTGTTGGGGGACTGGCGTTGTGTCTGGCTGCGGCAGGGCGGGCGAAGCCGTCGCGGCAAGGGTGGGGACGGGAGGACTGGGACAGGGACCTGGAGGGGGCAGTTGGGAACGTTACCCACAGCTGAGATTGTGATTTAGCACTTGGGCCAGGTTTCTCCGCTAGGGTGTTGTCCGAGCTCTCTCTCTCTCTCTTTTTTTTTTTTTTTTTTGGTGAAATTACCTCGTGGGGGAACGTTGGTTTTTTTTTTTTTTTTTGCTTCCACCCAGGAACGTGTAAATACATATGCTGCTTTTGGGAAGAGGCAGTCATTATGCTTAGGTTTGTGTTTTAGGACCCAGACCCGGGTGTGAAACGTGCTGCTCGGGAAGGTTAGTGTTACCCAGCTTTCTCCTGGAAACCCCCTTTCTCCTTTCCCTCCTCTGGTTCAGTTACACTATTGCTCCCCAGGGCCTCTCGGTTCGCTCTCCCTGGCTGCATAGCATTGCAGTGTTTCTTGCTCTCTCTCTCTCTCTCTCTCTCTTTCTCTCTCCCACCCAGTTTCCCTGCTGCTGTGCTTTTGGCAACTGCCTCTGCTCTTTCCCAGGGATGGTTGTGGCATTGCATCAGGGGATATTTGTGCTTGTAATTTGCTCACTCAGCCCAGGAAGAGGGAGAATAGTTTACTGCAGCGTTGGGGGGGGGGGTGCCGTCAGCTCGGCTGGGTAGGCAGAGAAATGGGTGTGGTGAGGGAATACAGCTGCTCTAGGCCTATAGGGTAACACTGCCCAGTCATCAGCTCAAAGAGATTCAAAGAGCAGCAGCAACAGCTATTTTTATAAATCAGTCCTGAATCCAAGCTGAGCACATGGATTTAGAGTGAACAGTTGTCATGCTCTAACTATTACCGGCTGGGTGTTTGGTAGACAACATTGGAGTTGCTAAGCGAGAACCTTACAGTGCAGCAGGTACTTTACTTGAAACTTTCTAACTTTGCTCTTCTCACCTTTCTGGAATGGGACATCTCTCTTCAGGGGGTCTTTCCAATGAAGTGGTTTGATGGTCCAGACTTCTCCTTTTCAGATGAAATTCTTCTACATCAGTGGTGGTCTTCCTCTCCAATTTGGCTTAAAAATAATAGAGTTAATCACCTTTTGAGCACTTGCCATCTTCCAGGCACGAGTCGTAGGTATTTGTTTACAGATGGGGAAATTGAGACTGATAGGAATAAGGGGTCACACAGATAGTTGTGTGGCAGAACTGGCATCCACATCAAGGTCTCTCTGACCCCCCCCCAAAAGTAGTTCAGAAACTGAAATTTTTGGTTCACACAGGGGTGATTTAAGCACTTGAGAATTTATTCATGCAAAGTAATCTCACCAGAGACTGATAAACCAGATACTAGTTTACTGACACTGAAAGTATAAAGTGCCCTGTACACAATTGGAATTAATTATACACTGGCTAGTAAGCCTTTGTTGCTGGGCAGCCAAATCAGTAATAAAAAGGCGATTGATGGGATCCCTGGGTGGCGCAGAGGTTTGGCGCCTGCCTTTGACCCAGGGCGTGATCCTGGAGACCCGGGATCGAATCCCACATCGGGCTCCCGGTGCATGGAGCCTGCTTCTACCTCTGCCTGTGTCTCTGCCTCTCTCTCTCTCTCTCTGTGACTATCATAAATAAATAAAAATAAAAAAAAGGCAATTGATTATAGAATGGGGACTAAGGGCTCTGCATGTTCTGAGGGAATGTTTTCATCAAGTTACTGAATCCTGGTGAGTCTCCCATTTCCCATCGAAGAAACGCATACATTCATGTTTGACAGTGCTGGGAGGATTTTAAAAACATTTTCCCACTCCATCTCAAAATTTTTTAAATCATCTCTTTTTTTTTTAAAGACTTTTATTTATTTATTACTGAGAGACACAGAGAGAGGCAGAGACACAGGCAGAGGGAGAAGCAGGCTCCAGCATGCAGGGAGCCTGACGCAGGACTCGATCCCGGGTCTCCAAGATCACACCCTGGGCCAAAGGCAGGCGCCAAACCACTGAACCACCCAGGCTGCCCTAACCATCTTTCATATATTTGTCATCTTAGCACATTTTTACCTGTGTTAAAATTCTCGAATTTGAAAGTTTACATATTAAAAAGTCATTTTCTTTTTCTTTTTTCTTTTTTTTAAGATTTTATTTATTTATTTATGAGAGACAGAGGCAGAAACATAGGTGGAGGGAGAAGCAGGCTCCTCTCAGGACTCTATTCCAGGACCTCAGGATCATGCCCTGAGCGGAAGGCAGATGCTCAGCCGCTGAGCCACCCAGACGTCCCAAAGTCATTTTCCATTGTTTGCTAACACTGAAGGAAGCACTTGGATTTTACGTCTAGGTGGCTTAGCTTTGTTTTTATTTTTTATTTTTCTTGAGGATATGAAAACTTTTAATTAATCACATACTCTGGCTTTAAGAGTAGGACAGGTTTCCCAAGATTGCTTGAAATGGATTGAGAGCTGGGAATGATACTGCCTTGTGTTTTTCATTTTGGTTATAGGGTGTGTGTGTTTGTGTATGTGGGTGTGTCGAAGTGAGTATTCCCTTGTGGGAAGGGGGGCTTGTGTGGTTTGAACCTCTCACCCACATCAAGATAGGTGACTTAGCTTTAGTCAGAATTAGTTCTTTTTTTTTTAAGATTTATTTTTATTTATTTATGATATATATATATATATATGGAGAGAGAGAGAGAGAGGGGCAGAGACACAGGCAAAGATAGAAGCAGGCTCCATGCAGGGAGCCCGAGGTGGGACTCGATCCCGGGACTCCAGGATCGTGCCCTGGGCCAAAGGCAGGCGGGAAACCGCTGAGCCACCCAGGGATCCCTTTTTTAAAAATATTAACCATGGTTAGTTGATGAGTAGGCTTTATTTTTCCTTAAAAAGCAAGAAAATCTGAGGAACATTTTGACCTAATGGAAGTCATCTGGTGGTTCATTTGATTTGGTCAATTTTAAAAAGATACTGAGTAAATACCACTGATTTTACTTTGTTCTTATAAATGGCACTTTTAGAACCAGGTTCCTGGGGCAGCCCCAGTGGCTCAGCGGTTTAGCACCACCTTCAGCCAGGGGTGTGATCCTGGAGACCCGGGATTGAGTCCCATGTCGGGCTCCCTGCATGGAGCCTGCTTTTCCCTCAGCCTGTGTTTCTGCCTCTCCCTTTCTCTCTCTTTCTCTATGTGTGCCTCTCATGAATAAATAAATAAAATATTAAAAAAAAATAGAACCAGGTTCCTGTGGATTTACTGCTAGGAATGTGTTGAGGACAATTACGGTCAAGAAAGGGGATAAAGCAAACTGACATATATGGGGGATCATATTCATCACCCTTTTAGAGCTCTCTAGGGTTAATCTCTCAATACAGACTTGATGGGAATTGTTTTGTATGCCCTTAAATTTTTGTTTAATTAATTTATTTTTGAGAGAGAGAGGGAGCCGGGAGTGGGGCAGAGGGAGAGGGAGAAGCACGTTTTAAGCATACTCTATACTGAGTGCAGAGGGATTTGGGGATCAATCTCATTACCCTGTGATCTTGACCTGAGCTTAAACCAAGAGAAGAAGAGGAGGCTTGACCCACTCTGCCACCCAGGCACCCCTGTATGTCATTAAATTCTGAGTTCAAAAGTCAATTCAGCTTACTTTGGTGTTTCTTTACGTGGTAGTAAAGTTAAATTTTTTTTTTTTTAAGATTTTATTTCAGAGTCTGCGCATTTCAAGGGGCAGAGGGAGCGGGGAGAGAGAGAGAGAGAGAGAATCCCAAGCGGACTCTGCCAGGCTCTATCTCATGACCCTGAGATCATGATCCAGTCTGACCCCCAACAGACTGAGCCACCCAGGCAGCCTGAAAAGTTAGTCTTCTCACCATAAAACCTATCTTATCAGTTTGCATGTATTTAAAGGTTTTTTTTGTTGTTGTTGCTTTAAGATTTTATTTATTTATTCATGAGAGACAGAGAGAAGGCAGAGACACAGGCAGAGGGAGAAGCAGACTCCCCATGGGGAGCCTGACGGGGGACTTGATTCCCGGATCACGCCCTGAGCCAAAGGCAGATAGATGCTCAACCACTGAGCCACCCAGGCATCCCTGTATTTAAATTTCTTTTAAATGTATTGCTTTTCTTCACATTCTGACTTTGCAAGAAGGCAGTTTAAAAAATAATTTATTTTCAAATAATTCTAGATTTACAGAAGATTGTAAAGACATTACAGAATTTCCATATAATTTTCATCTAATTTTCCTAATGTTAACATCTTATATAATGATACATTTATTAAAATTAGGAAGTCAGGGGCACCTGGGTGTGGTTCAGTGGTTGGAGTGTCTGCCTTTGGCTCAGGTTGTGGCCCTGCAATCCTGGGATCGAGTTTTGCATTGGGCTACCTACCCATAGGGAGCCTGCTTCTTCCTCTACCAATGTCTCTGCCTCTCTTTGTGTGTGTCTCATGAATAAATAAATA